GCTGCGTAGCCACACGGACCGTCCTCATCCTCCAGCACAAAGGTGTACTCGGGGCTGAGGCTCAGGAAGCTGCCCAGCAGCCTGCCAGCCAGAGCAGGAGCAGGGCTGAGCTGCACCCGCAGCCAGCCTGCCCCAGGGAAAGCTCAGACCAGCCTCCTCCTGCCCTGGTTGAGCAGCACCCCGGCATCCACCAGACCACCCCTTTGAGGTCCCCCCAGGAGAAGCCCTCAGCCAAGGGCAGCCACCACAGCACATATATCCCCACAATGGCTGCCCCAACCCAGCTGGACATTAGGGCAGTCCCTGCCCTCCCTGCCCTCTCCCACAGGGTGAAGCCATGGCCACAGTGGTGCTGGCAGAGCTGGCTCCCATGGGGAGGGAAGGAGAAGTCCCTGCCCCACACCACAGCCCTGCACTGCCCATGGCAGGGTCAGCACAGGCCCGGCAAGAGGGAGCCCCAGAAAAGCCACATCTCACCTGTCACCGAGGAGATCGGGATGTGCTGCAAGGATCTCTGCGACTTTGGGGTCACAGTCCAAACTCTCCCGGCACATTCGGTAAAGCTCTCCCTGGAAGACCCAGATCCACCTCAGCCCTGGCTCTACCTGCCCAGCCCAATCCCTTCCCCACTGCTGCCCCTCAGCTGCCTGTCCTGGGCTGTAACAGCAGCTGCCCCAATTGACCATAACGAGGGACCAGGAGCAGGGCTGTGGCCTCCAGCGTGTCCTGGCCAGGGAAAGATGCTTCAGCCGTCCAAGGATGCAGATGTCTGTGCCAAGGGATGCACCGTGCAACAGCTCCTGCTGCCTCTGGGGCTTGTTGCCACAACATGGCAAGACTTCAACACAAGAAATTGCCATTCCAGTCAGGCATCCCAGAGCAGCAGCTGCTGAGGAAACACGGCTCAGCCCCCAGGCGGAGCGTGCCCTGAGCAGCCAGAATGGCCGTGAAACCAGTGCTGACAGTCAAGTCCCCACAGAGCTTGTGCAAAGTAGGACACTTCTAATCTTCTGTCTTGATCTGGTTTGATTTTGCTGCTGTTCACAGCATCAGTGAAAAGAACATCCCCCTAAAAGCACTACTTCCCAAAGGGAAGGCTGCCCCCATCCCTGAGGGACAAGGCAGCACAGTGCACTTCTGAGCTCCATTCCCAGCAAGGGCTGCAGTGCTTAGCTGGGATTTTCTCTCAAAGTTTCAGTGGACACAGATACTCAGTTTGGCCTGATCAGCTGAATTGTGACAACAGGCAGTTGAAAACAAGCTCTTGCAACAGAACTGCTGGCAGCTGCAGTCTGGCACTATGATCAGCTCTCATGGGCCTGCAGCTGCTCCTCTGCTCTTGACAGGCACTGCAACTGTGCATCCCGGGTCTGTGTCCAGCAGGGATGTGTGGCTGTGCCCGTGGGGCTGGATGTGCATTTCCTTTGGCTGGAGGGGCAGCAGGGTGAGGGAGCAGGGTGTTTCCTGCAGATGTGGGGAACCCAGGGCCCAAATGGATTTGGGAGCAGCTTAACTGGTGTGTCCACCGGTCTCCAAATTCTCCCTTTCCCTCCCCATCCCATCCCACTGAACTGCTTGGATGTCAAACAGGTCAGGGGGGCTGGCAGCAAGAAGGTCATGGCTAACAGAGGCTGCTGCCCCTCCAGTGGGGAATCATCCTGTAAACTAGATGAGTATTTGAAGAAGGGACTGTTTTGGGGATGAATGTCGACAGACAGTGCCTAGAGCTGCAGAGTGATGAAGGCTGCAGGAGGTCACCATCCACATTTGTCCTGTTTCAGATCTTTCCTGTCATCTTCCACAACACCTGCTCTCCACCCCAGGGGCCTGACACACAGCCCTGGGTGATCTGCCCCAGGCTGGTCTGCTCTGAGCAGGGGCTGGACCACAGAGATCCCTTCCCACCTGGATCACCCTGCCTTCAAGTTCTGCCTCGGGGTCAGCAACAGATGAGCCCGTATCCTGTGAGCAGCTCTGGGCCCCGTGGTGCAGGTGACCCCTTGGGGCCATGGCTCTCACCTTGTCCAGGGGCAGCAGTGGGCGCAGGAGGTACACCTGGCTGGACGGGAAGAATGGAGGTGGGTGGTAGAAGAGGTCACAGCTGTTCCCCACGGGCAGCAGTGCCTGGAAGAGATACAGCCCAGCAAGGAGCAGGTTGTCCTAGCTCCAGACCTTGCCCTTGGGGCAACAGGAGGAGGGTCTCTCTAAGGCACCCTAAACCCCAGGAGCCACAGCCTAGGCACAGGGGCCCAGGGCAACTTTGCCTTCCCAAGCTTGCAGCAACCCTCTGGCAGAGCCAGGAGCAGCAGCTAGGATCCCGGCTTCCCACTGGCTCCTTCAGACCCCAGAAACATGGGCACACTCTCACCTGCAGCTCTCCAAAGAGGCCCCCACGACGTGCCCAGGGCTCAGCATCCCCCCCCAGCAGGATTGGGGCAGTGATGCTCTGGCACCCTGGAGGCAGCAGGAGACAGACACATGTGAGGTGAACAAAAGCCTGCTGGGCCAGGAGGAGATCAGCCTCCACCACACTGGTCACACAGTGAGAGATAGTGAGAGCTGTCCCGGTGACCACCCCGTCCCCAGCAGCAGCGTCCCATCTGCTGCCATGTCAGGGCATGCAGAGCTGCCAGGCTTGCCG